TCGCAATATAAAAACCAGTAATTTATACACCAATTTTTTCATATCCTAATCGAAGAAACTCAATGAAGGTTTTGATTTGATAGTAATTATTTGGGACTTTTTCCTGGTCTTTTAGATTCAACAAGCTTAAATTTTTTTATTAGTACATTGTTCCAATTAGCTAGTATCATGTTATGTTGCATCTTCATTTGTAGCATTTTTCCTATCCACTTCAAAACTATTTCTTCTTGCCCTACAACTCTAATAAAGACCTTTGAAGCCCTCAACAAATCATAGAATGCACAAGCCTCCTTATTAGGCTCCTTTAAAGTTGATTTACAATTAGTAGTTTCTCCAATATTTGACACAATTATTATTGACTTCTAACTATTGAGATTGATTATAATCCATGTGTGGACCAAATGCATTAATTATCATGTCTCGATCTATTGATTTGGATTGAAAATATAAAGCTTTATGGTTTGGTGTTTGCCCTCCAAACCCATTAAGTATATTATTAATTTTCTCTCCATGTTCAAGCCACACATAATACCTTGGTAAAAATCCATGTTTCACAAGATGGTGCACAACTTCACCACGAACTTGCCAATACCTATTACTACATTTCTTACAAAGACATTTTTATTTTATTTTTACTAATAACTCCTAGCTAAGAAAAAAACAGTTTCAAGAAAAAACTCAACCATTGTACTAAATTCTCCTTTAAAAACCCATGAGAGTCTATCCTGTTATACATCCAGTTGTGGTCATTTGATATCTCATGTGATCTATTAATGATTGATATAGATAAAACATTATTTCTAATTAGTTTAAAATGTAAGATGAATAAATTCATTAAGACCTAACAAGATAAATTATTTCTAAGAAGTAACAGCTCAGGTTCAATTTATTTGTAACAACATATATTCCTTTTAGTTCACAACTATTTTTTACACTTTTTTATACCTAAATTATGAAAAATGTACTTTCTTATCATTTCACTAGTTAGTCAATTAAGTTTATTTAAATTATACGTACTTCAAGAGCTAAAAAATATGCATATATTAAAAGTTTAAGAACTAAAAATCTATATATTTGAATAAACTTAATGAAGTAACTTACATAAAAGCGAAAAAAAAAAAGGTATGTTTTTTTAGTTGAAGGACCAAAAAAGTATAAACAATAGTTTAGAGACTAAATAATTAAAATTAAAAGTTTAGAGACTACAATATATTTAGTTAAAAGCTTAGGGATTAAAATGTTCTAAGTTAAAAGTTTAGAAACTAAAATGTTACAATTAAAAATTTAGGGATTAAAGTATTTAAATTAAAAGTTGAGGCACTAAAATGTCCAAAATTAAAAATTTAGAGACTAAATTATTATAAATTATAAGTTTATGCACTAAATTGTCATAAATTAAAAGATAAGGAATTAAACTAACATCTAACCAAAAATATTGGTTAAATGACAATTTTGGTCCTTAACGTTATAGTTTTGTAGTTTCATCCGTTAACCTTTTTATGCAAAATTTTGGTCCTAAACGTTTAAAAATGCTTTTTTTTTTTCAGCCATTCTATCAGCTAATTCGTTATATCTATCCAAATATACACATTTTTATCTTTTAACTTATAATATACGCATATTATATGTCCTTTAATTTTTCATTTTAGAGACAAAAAATGTGTATATATAGATAAATTAAATAGATTAATTAATGGAATTATTAAAAAAAAGTATAAATTTCATAATTTTGGGATAAAAAGTTGCACAAAAAATTTGGAGATGAAAATTATGTAAATTTCTGAAGTTAAGAGACCAAAATTGATATTTAATCTAAAATTCTTTATAAAACAAAATATACCTTTTGGGAGTTTTAAATGTTCAAATGTACTCTATCTTAAATCTAAAAGGGAAAAGAAGGAAAAAGTTAGATATGATATATTAAACATATAGGTTTGGCCAAAGAAATTAAAAAATTTTTAAAGGAATGATCTTCTTAGAGCCTGTTTGGTATGGTTAGAGCTTTTGATAGAAATTCTATTAAAAAGAATCTGTTATAGAAGTGTTGTTTTTGAGAAGTTGAGAGTGTTTGGTAAAGTTTTTTATAGAAGTACTTGTAGAGTTAAAAGTTGTTTGATAAAATCTTTTATAAAAGATCTTTTAATACTAAAATGATTGAAATAGACATTTTTATTTTAAGGATAATGCTGTGTGCACCCTCCGGTTCAACACCCGGGGGTGCACACCCTTAGTAACCAAACAACTTTAACAACAAAATTACATATTTAACCTTAAAGTCATTTTCCTCTCAATGCCCCTTTTTGTTCTTGTCTCTCCATCTTCCTCTGCCGAATTCTTCTCCTTCCCCGAGATCTGCTTCACCCTTTTATATATATATTTTTTGGGGCTGCTTGGCGATGACGATGATGATGGTGGTGATGGTGACGATGGTGATGGAAAACAGAGGAATCTATGGTTCTGCCCCTCTCCTTCTATTTTGGTGGTGATTGAGGATGGTGATGGAGGTGGAGGTTGTGATGATGATGAGATGCAAAGAGATGGTCTCTGGGTTCTCCCGAGAGAGAGAAAGAAAAAAAAAGGGCCTGGGTTCTGGGTTCTGGGTTCTCCAGGAGAACCCAGATCGGGTTCTCCGAGACTGGGTTCTTCTCGGAGAACCCATCTGGGTTCTTCCCGGAAAACCCATCTGGGTTCT